TGAATAATTTTTGAAATGTTTTTTCCTTTTTCCTCTTTTAAAGCCTTCTGGTCATGACAGAAGGGAAAACCTTAATTCGTATCAGAGGAACTCCTCCCCAGAAGACAGGTAAATAGTTTTATATGCTCTAAATGCAATGTAAGTTTTTATGGTAAGTTTTATGTAATAATTTAGCTCTTAGATTTCTAATTTTAGGGTGGATAATGTCTTTCTAATGGTTTTATAACCAGTATTACTTGAATGGACTTGATGGACGAATCATCCTTTAATGACTCTTTTAGGAGTGTCTAGTAAATAATTCCAGATATTATGTAATTTTTATGTGAAAGGGAATAATTTTTAATGTCTCAAATACTAATGGAATGAAAGTATATAATGGAAAACTGAGTTGAAATTACACTATTTAGAAGTGCTACTTTTACTGCTGGTAGTACTGTCCCTTACATTTACATAGCTCTGTATTGTTTTTAAAATATTTTTATGTAGATTATATCAGGGATCCCCAACCCCAGATCCAGGTACCAGACCGCACAGCAAGAGGTGAGCAACAGGCCTGCCAGTATTTCGGTCTGAGCTCCACCTCCTGTCAGATCAGCCGCGTCGCTGGATTCTCATAGGAGCACAAACCCTATTGTGAGCTGTGCATGTGAGGGATCTAGGTTGTGCTCTCCTTATAAGAATCTAATGCCTGATGATCTGAGGTGCAGCAGTTTCATCCTGAAACCATCCCCCCACCCTCACCGACTGTGGTAAAATTGTCTTCCACAAAACTGGCTTCTGGTGCCAAAAAGTTTGAGGACTGCTGGATTATATCATATTATAATTATGTTAAGATCAGCGTTCCAAAAATGTTACTGTTAACGTACATTATGAATTCACGTTAGGACTACAATTATTTCATTTATGATCATTGAAAGACCATTAAGCATGTGGTCTATTAAATATAATGACTATAAAAAATAATTTTTTATGCCCATTAAAAATAATTTATGAAGGAAGAAGCATCCTTCAAACTTGCTTTCAGTTGTGTAATCTTCCCTACTCTGTATGTACTTTCTTATTCTATTCTGCTAAATATCTCTAAAAGCTTTTCTTTGCAGACATCAAGTTAATTGCCCTGGTTCATGAGTACTTACTACCTTTCACCAGTCACCACTCCCTATAGATTAAAATACGTATATATCTTTCTACACGCAGACACATACACACTTGGGTTTATGTTTGTATATCTTATTTATATATTTAACTTCTCTTAAGGTTCTTTGATTTTATTAACTTTTTTTTTTCCCTTGAGACGGACTTTCACTCACTCTGTCGCCGGGCTGGAGTGCAGTGGCGCCATCTCAGCTCACTGCCACCTCTGCCTCCTGGGTTCAAGTGATTCTCCTGCCTCGGCCTCCCAAGTAGCTGGGACTACAGGTGTGTGCCACCACGCCCAGCTAATTTTTGTATTTTTAGTAGAGATGAAGTTTCACCATTTTGGCCAGGATGGTCTCGATCTCTTGACCTCATGATCAACCCACCTCGGCCTCCCAAAGTGCTGGTATTACCGGCATGAGTCACCACGCCCGGCCCTCACTTTTAAGATTCAAATAACTGACACAATGCTATCCATCCTTGTTTGCTAATAATTTCAACCCATTCTCATTGCTGTCCAGTAATGCATTTTCAAAATTAACAGCTGATGAATATGGTCTTTTGGTGTCGAATTAAACAGATCCTATGGAGGCCAACCAATGACAGTGGTCTCATACATTCAGTGTTTTGATAAATGAGCCAACTAAGCAAAAGGAGTCATTTGCAGGATAGCCTTTTTCATGCTAACTGAATGTAATATCCAGATATATGTCTCCTACTGAGAAAAAAATGAATCAGGATAATTCACTAACCAAATAAGTCCTGTTAAGTGAATTCTAGGAGTTGTTTTGCTGTGTACAAGCTGAAAGCTTTTGTAATTCTGATTGAAACAATGGGTGTTAGCAAAATGAGCTGTTAAGAACAGTTTGATAAGATGTTGTTCAGTCACAGAGCTGCTTTATCATTACCAATACATGACTTTCCTATTTATAACATAGTTATTTTTAACTTACAACTTGGTTTTCTTATTTTATGTTAGATATGCAGAACAAGAAAGATCCCCCCGGGATAGAGATCACTTTGATTACAGCAGATCAGACCATGAGCATTCAAGAAGAGGACATTCTTATGATAGTAGCACGGAGTCACGGTTAGTGTTGGGAATTTCTAACTGTAGAAAATCATGTTTGTTTAAACTTTATCCTATATTTATAATAAAAACAAAAATAATAGTAACTAACATTAATTGGATGTTCTTAGGTGCCACGCTTACTAATAAGGACTTCATGTGAATTAACTTCTTATGGTAGTAAATATGTGAAGTGTAGATACTGTTATGCCTGCTTTACAGCTGAAGAAACTGAGGCCTAGAGAAGTTTAGTAGTTTGTTCATGTTTTGAAATGTAATAGTGCCAAGCCCAAGTCTGTCTGACTCTAAAGCCCAAGCTCATTCATTGTATTGTACTGCAAAAGTAGTCAGCTCATGTGATTTTTTGAGATTCTTTACTAAATGAAAGAAATTTATATTGTATGATATAGAGTGGTCTAAATTTATTTTCCTACATAATGGCAGAGGGAATTGAGACTAAAGTTTCCAATTTGTAGTTTTTTTCTGCTTTACTTGAGCCTTAGAGAACTTGGTTACCCACCTGTTACTCTGGGTAACAAGACCTACAACATTTACTTGGTTGAGAAATGGGCAAGGAAACCAAATGGAAGGCAGATAAACTCTCCTCCAAAGCAAGAAATATTGGAATGAGAGTGTTTGGAAACTCTTAGGGGTAATACTTAAGAAGAGTCAGACATTAAGTGCCATTCAGATTTCACTGAACACTAGACAGAGTATTATAATCCCCTTGTTATTGATCTGTACTTAATTTCAATTCTTTTTCTCCTTTGTAGAAATTAATAATAGTTTTTACAATGAGAATACATTAGTCCCCACTTATCCGTGGGGAGTGTGTTCCAGGACCCCCCAGTTGATGTCTGAAACTGGATAATACCTGAACCATATATATCTATAATGGTTTTTCCTATACATTCATACTTATGATAAAGTTTAATTTATAAATTAGACATAGTAAAAGATTAACAACAGTAATACTAAAATAGAACAATTATGAGAATATACTCTTAAGTTATATGAATGTGGTCTCCTCTCAAAATATCTTATTGAACTGCAGTCACTTATTTTTGGACTATGGTTAACCACTGGTAGCTGAAGCCTCAGAAAGTGAAACCACAGATAAGGGGTGACTGCCGTGTTAGAAAGATGTTGGTGTTTTTAAAATTCCTTTTAAAACTTCACTACAGGGCCTCTGTATTTGCTCAGGAGAAAGTGTAATGGAATGAAAAGTTGTTACTTAGTACTTGTGGGGAGAGAATCTCCAGATAGAAGTAATGGTAGTCTCAAAGAAAATAGGTGAGTAGATACGTGAGATGCTCAATATAGGGAAGAGATCTTAACTAGAATTCTGCAGATGAGAATACTCTCAAGTACATAAAACAGAAGTCACTATATGGGTAGTATTCCCTTAACTTGCATGTATCTTTGCTTAGGAGAGAAGTAGTGATGCAGACAATTTCCAGGTCATTTGAAATTGACTTTGGAATGTCTGTATTTTAGCCTTTTTAATGAGGCAGTGTTGCATAATAGAAAGAGAATAGATTCCATATTCATGCAGATTGGAGTTCAAGTTTTAGTTACTAGTTATTGAAATTTGGTAGTTTCTTTTTTTTTTTTTTTTTTTTTTT